ATTAATTAATAGGGTGTTAATTTGCCCATTTTTTATTCCTTTAGCAAATAGCTTGTTTCGTGTTGGTATATGTAATTCATCGCCAGATTGATTTCTCTTCATTGTCCATTGATCTGTTTTAATAATGCTGTTCATCTTTCTTAGAGTCCATTTAGATTTAAGTTTAGTTTTTCGCCCCTTTGCAATGGATGTTTGTTTTCTTTTCTCGCTTGAGGAATCTTTCTGTTTTTCTTTAAATAAGAAAACGTTGGGATGCTATATGAAAAAAGTAGCAAAGCTTGATGTTGAATTGACAGTTGAAGAGCGCAAATTTTGTCAGTTGGGTATAAGAATGTGATTGAAATTCAAAGGATTCCATGGAGGATTTGCAAAAGGAATTTGCAAACGAGAGAATAAACAGGAGCGTACATCAATACATCGATTCGTATGCAGTTCTTTTTTTTTCGTTATATCACTACTTCAAAACCGTTCATGGGCCTTGGGAATGAAAGAAGAAGATAATATAATCAATAAATCACTCCTTGTATAATATTTTCGAGTTTTCTCTTGCCTTGCAATGCTTTTATATACACAATTTTAACAACAAATGAATTTTACAAATGCTTACAATTATCATTAGCTTAATAATATTCACGCTATTAGATCTAAAAAGATACGAAAAGTTATAAAAAACTTATGTTGAGAGACAAGGGCGACTGTGAATGCTCGAATATAAATACGTCGCCTGACACATGTTGAATACTAGTATATTGTATATAAAAATGACTAAAATCGAACTTTTAAATTTATTAAGCTAAAAAGTTCAATATTTTCGAATTTCGTCAAAATGACTCAAATATAAATAGATTTTGCAATTCTACCAATCCTTTTATTCATAAAGATAATTATCTAAGAATTAGATCAATTCTACAAAACCATTAAAGTTGATGAGAGAACCTTAGTTCAAGGAAAGCTTTTTTTTTTTTTTTAAATAAAAAATAACAATGAAATGAGGCTTTTTATTTTATGGTAAATAGGCAGGAAGCAAACATGGAAACCAACCTGAACAAAAGAAGTGGCAATTCTATCCGATCAAATCTCAACAGCTCTTTCTGATTATAAAGCCGTTAATCATAATCCCCCATCACATTGGCCGTTTGTATCAATCAAGAAATCCCCAATTGAATCAATCTCTCGCTTTCATTACACAGGACACTCTCGGGTCGCGCTCGCAACCAGCAATCGATCTGAATCCGCTTTGGCTCTCTCTTTCTAATATTAAATTCAATTTCTTGGTTATTATTCGCTTTAATTCTGATTTTGGTTGTTAAATCTAACGCTTTTTGCAGGCTTCATTTTTCTTTTTTTGTTTGCAGGAAATTCTGTTTCTCGCTCTCTCTATCTCTTAGTTTCATATATCTTTTGTTGTTTGTGTATTTATTTTTGTGCTAACGGTAATGAAAACTCGAAGTGTTCATTCATCTGCATCTTCGAACAACACTCAGTCGCAAAGCCCGCTTCTGGAACCGCTCCTTCAAAGACGGAGTTCGCGGGAGAATGTAAGTTGTTGTTTTACTGTGTTTAATATTCTAGTATAGGGCAGATATATCTATGTTAAGAAGAAACTTATTAGAACTGGGAGAAAGAGAGAGAAAAATTAATTTGAAATTGGTCATGTTTTTCCAAGAACACACTTCAGTCAATTTCATTCATTGATTTTCGATTTAATTATACAAATTGGGTGGATTTTATTTGTTTTACAACGGGGGGTTTTTGATAAGATTGTTTTGAAATTATCTCTTTGATAAGTGGAAAGAAAATAATTATCTTAAAATCGAGTATATATTTTTCCAATTCTGATTCCAAGTTCCACGCTATCTCATCTACAATTATTCGTTTATGTTTTTCAATTTTATTCGACACATTAGGTAGTTTTTATTTGATTTACAATTTGTGTTTTGAATATGATTTATAAACTTAGGGTTTTCAAGTAGTCCGATAAGTTTAAATTGAACTTGACATCTGAAATCATGTTTTTCTTCTGGGGTTTAAATTGGATTTTAGAATTTGTTTAATTTATGTTAATTTTAGGCGAACATAACTGTGTATCTTAATACGATGCTTTTGTTTTATGCAGTTGGATCGATTCATACCGAACAGATCAGCGATGAACTTCGACAGCGCTCGTTACATGCTTGCAGAAGCATGGAAAGGTAAGGAAAATCCTGCGATGGTCTCTCCATCCAGAGAGGCATACAGAAAACAGCTTGCTGAAGCCTTGAATATGAATAGGACGAGGATTTTTGCTTTCAAGAACAAACCACCTGCCCGCAAAGAGACAATTTCGAATGAGTTTGCATCAGCTACTCATGAGGCCAAACCGTCAAAACCCCGGCGGCATATTCCCCAGGTTAATGTTGTTTATATTGTTTCATGGAATTTTATCCAATTGGAAGGGAGAGTTTTTTTTACCATGAATGTTTCCTTAAAAAATATAAATCAACTCAATTCAATTCGTATATTTATGCAGACTTCCGAGAGGACTTTAGATGCTCCTGATATTGTGGATGATTACTATTTGAACCTATTAGATTGGGGCAGCAGCAACATTCTCTCCATTGCTCTTGGAAATACCGTGTATATGTGGGATGCATCTAATGGTGCTACATCAGAACTTGTCACAATTGATGAAGAAAATGGCCCTGTTACCGGTGTCAAATGGGCTCCCGATGGACGGCACATTGCTGTTGGCCTGAACAACTCGGAGGTTCAGATATGGGATTCGACAGCAGCTAGACAGGTGCTTATCCTCTAATATTTTCTTAATATTTATGAAGGATTGGACTCTAACTCAAATCTAGCTAGGTACCTCTATACAATTGATTTGACGTGGATAGAGGTCTATTTTGTCCAATCCAGTTGATCAACTGTAAACCTACAATTCGTTTAAAAAGTCATAGTGCTTATTTTCATGTACTTCCAATGCAGCTGAGAACTTTGAGAGGCATTCATGGGTCACGAGTTGGTGCTTTGGACTGGAACAATCACATTTTGACTACTGGTGGCATGGATGGTCAGATCATTAACAATGATGTTAGAGTGAGGGCACACATTGTTGAAACTTATAGAGGACATACTCAAGAAGTTTGTGGACTTAAATGGTCAGCCTCGGGTTCACAGCTAGCAAGTGGTGGAAATGATGATCTACTCCACATATGGGACAGTTCCATGGCTTCATCTAATTCTCCAACACAGTGGCTGCACAGGCTCGAGGAACATACTGCTGCTGTCAAAGCTCTTGCCTGGTGTCCTTTCCAGGGTAATTTACTGGCCTCTGGTGGAGGTGGAAGTGACCAGCGCATAAAATTCTGGAACACGCACTCTGGTGTGTGCTTGAACTCGGTTGACACTAGCTCACAAATTTGTGCTTTATTGTGGAGTAACAATGAGCGTGAAATGCTTAGCTCTCACGGGTTTACAGAAAATCAGCTCACTCTCTGGAAATACCCCTCCATGGTGAAAATAGCTGAGCTCACTGGGCATACATCAAGAGTTCTTTTTATGGTTCAGGTACCGAGTTGTATCTTATTCGAAGAGTAATGTAATGCCACCATCTTTTAACATCTTAAATCTGATCCTTTTCTTGTGGTCTTTGATTTAGAGCCCGGATGGATGCACAGTTGCATCAGCAGCAGGAGATGAAACTCTGAGGTTTTGGAATGTTTTTCGGATGCCTAAAGTGGCAAAACCTGCATCCAAGACAAATTCCGAGCCATTTGGTCACTGGAACATTCGATGATTGTTGGCATGAGAAAGCAAAGCAGATTCTTTACTGCATGAAATTCTAAGATCGAAGAAAACAAAAATGATTAACAAGTCCATAGGTACAAATTTTTGACAATGTCCTTTATTGTATTCATTCCACTATATTTTTTAAGCTAATTATTTTCTATAATTTCCATTTTCTGACAGGGGGTTTCTACTGACAATTGGGTTTCTGCAATTCCACCCCGACAGTGCCTTTTTTTCTAATGCCTTCGTATTTTCTCATGCGAAGTTCAGTTACACTGCGTATTGTCTTTTAAGCTACACATGTCCATAGGTACAAATTATTGACAATACGACTGAAAATCAACTTCTGGAAAGACAGGTCTCCTTTCTCTGTTAAGCAGTCTTTTTTATCATGTTTTTCATTGTTTGTCCTTGCATGACTCCTTTTGTCATTTGGCAGTGACTGCTCTTCTGCTGGACTTCTAATTAATCCTATTAATTAGGAGCTTCCCCAGTGTTGGGGAGGTCAATAAAATTTATTAATCCTATTATTCAATAGATATTCATGTTTTACACTAAATACCTCATTTTTCTCGTCTTAAGGCAACTATTATGGCCGGGTTACTTTTTTAGCTCTTTTTCTTCTTTATTTTTCATATTTTCTTTCCTGCAGAAAGCAAGTCCACCAAAGATGCACAAAACAAAGTTGCAGAAGCTAGAAACTTTTTTTGAAACGTCTCCAGGGAACTGGTGATGCAGTTATGTTACACTCACAAAATAAGAGCAGCCTCAGACAGCTGGAGTTAACATTCACTCTGTGCGACTAATTGAGGAACATAGAGGTGGTATGTTATGTTAGTTACCTCTACGTCATTCTAGTTACTGCCATGTTTTGTAGTTACAACTCTTTTAAGTCGAGCAAATCTGATATTTTGCAAAAGACCATTTGACATGTAAATATCCAGAGGTACTATGTTATGAGATAGACCTTTTTTTTTTTTTTGCATGATAAAATAAGGGTAGTAAGAGATTTCTGTTTAACATTGGTCAGTTCACTCCTTGGAATCAGCTTCTGCTTTGCAATTGGTCAGTTCACTCCTTGTTTCCAAAAAATGGCTCATTACAAGATCAGATGTGGCCTGAATTGTCACATTTGGTCATATCTGCCTCAACATAGATCGGGGGAGAACATTCTCTCCATTGCTCTTGGAAATACCGTGTATATGTGGGATGCATCTAATGGTGCTACATCAGAACTTGTCACAATTGATGAAGAAAATGGCCCTGTTACCGGTGTCAAATGGGCTCCCGATGGACGGCACATTGCTGTTGGCCTGAACAACTCGGAGGTTCAGATATGGGATTCGACAGCAGCTAGACAGGTGTTTATCCTCTAATATTTTCTTAATATTTATGAAGGATTGGACTCTAACTCAAATCTAGCTAGGTACCTCTATCCAATTGATTTGACGTGGATAGAGGTCTATTTTGTCCAATCCAGTTGATCAACTGTAAACCTACAATTCGTTTAAAAAGTCATAGTGCTTATTTTCATGTACTTCCAATGCAGCTGAGAACTTTGAGAGGCATTCATGGGTCACGAGTTGGTGCTTTGGACTGGAACAATCACATTTTGACTACTGGTGGCATGGATGGTCAGATCATTAACAATGATGTTAGAGTGAGGGCACACATTGTTGAAACTTATAGAGGACATACTCAAGAAGTTTGTGGACTTAAATGGTCAGCCTCGGGTTCACAGCTAGCAAGTGGTGGAAATGATGATCTACTCCACATATGGGACAGTTCCATGGCTTCATCTAATTCTCCAACACAGTGGCTGCACAGGCTCGAGGAACATACTGCTGCTGTCAAAGCTCTTGCCTGGTGTCCTTTCCAGGGTAATTTACTGGCCTCTGGTGGAGGTGGAAGTGACCAGCGCATAAAATTCTGGAACACGCACTCTGGTGTGTGCTTGAACTCGGTTGACACTAGCTCACAAATTTGTGCTTTATTGTGGAGTAACAATGAGCGTGAAATGCTTAGCTCTCACGGGTTTACAGAAAATCAGCTCACTCTCTGGAAATACCCCTCCATGGTGAAAATAGCTGAGCTCACTGGGCATACATCAAGAGTTCTTTTTATGGTTCAGGTACCGAGTTGTATCTTATTCGAAGAGTAATGTAATGCCACCATCTTTTAACATCTTAAATCTGATCCTTTTCTTGTGGTCTTTGATTTAGAGCCCGGATGGATGCACAGTTGCATCAGCAGCAGGAGATGAAACTCTGAGGTTTTGGAATGTTTTTCGGATGCCTAAAGTGGCAAAACCTGCATCCAAGACAAATTCCGAGCCATTTGGTCACTGGAACATTCGATGATTGTTGGCATGAGAAAGCAAAGCAGATTCTTTACTGCATGAAATTCTAAGATCGAAGAAAACAAAAATGATTAACAAGTCCATAGGTACAAATTTTTGACAATGTCCTTTATTGTATTCATTCCACTATATTTTTTAAGCTAATTATTTTCTATAATTTCCATTTTCTGACAGGGGGTTTCTACTGACAATTGGGTTTCTGCAATTCCACCCCGACAGTGCCTTTTTTTCTAATGCCTTCGTATTTTCTCATGCGAAGTTCAGTTACACTGCGTATTGTCTTTTAAGCTACACATGTCCATAGGTACAAATTATTGACAATACGACTGAAAATCAACTTCTGGAAAGACAGGTCTCCTTTCTCTGTTAAGCAGTCTTTTTTATCATGTTTTTCATTGTTTGTCCTTGCATGACTCCTTTTGTCATTTGGCAGTGACTGCTCTTCTGCTGGACTTCTAATTAATCCTATTAATTAGGAGCTTCCCCAGTGTTGGGGAGGTCAATAAAATTTATTAATCCTATTATTCAATAGATATTCATGTTTTACACTAAATACCTCATTTTTCTCGTCTTAAGGCAACTATTATGGCCGGGTTACTTTTTTAGCTCTTTTTCTTCTTTATTTTTCATATTTTCTTTCCTGCAGAAAGCAAGTCCACCAAAGATGCACAAAACAAAGTTGCAGAAGCTAGAAACTTTTTTTGAAACGTCTCCAGGGAACTGGTGATGCAGTTATGTTACACTCACAAAATAAGAGCAGCCTCAGACAGCTGGAGTTAACATTCACTCTGTGCGACTAATTGAGGAACATAGAGGTGGTATGTTATGTTAGTTACCTCTACGTCATTCTAGTTACTGCCATGTTTTGTAGTTACAACTCTTTTAAGTCGAGCAAATCTGATATTTTGCAAAAGACCATTTGACATGTAAATATCCAGAGGTACTATGTTATGAGATAGACCTTTTTTTTTTTTTTGCATGATAAAATAAGGGTAGTAAGAGATTTCTGTTTAACATTGGTCAGTTCACTCCTTGGAATCAGCTTCTGCTTTGCAATTGGTCAGTTCACTCCTTGTTTCCAAAAAATGGCTCATTACAAGATCAGATGTGGCCTGAATTGTCACATTTGGTCATATCTGCCTCAACATAGATCGGGGGAGGCAATCAAGCCCAATTGAGGTTGAGTTGATGTGGGTGCGTGAAAAACAATTTTTGGTGCAAAGGACCTCGCAAAAGGCTCGAAAATCTTTATTGAGTCACCATATGTGTTCCTTTCTGATCAAAGAAGCTTTCAATAAGTCGAAATGCCTTTATTTAAGTGTGATTGTCGTGTGTCATGTTGGGTGGGGGGCGGACGTGGATGGAGAGATAAGATAGTATTGTAGATTGTAACCTAACAAGGAAGAAAAAGTTTCTGCTTTCTATTACTTGCTAATTATTTACATGTTCATGTAGTCTTTTTTATCGTGAGTCTCATTTTAATCCTTCAATTTTCTAGTTATCTGAATACTTACTAGAATATTTTTAAGTTTGAACCGATAATTTCTCCTTTTAGACGTCAAGCACCCTTCTTATCAGTTCTCTTCTTTCTTCTTTTGTAGTTAGAGGCTTGGGCCAATCAAAGAGAAGCTGCTGGTTTAAGGGCTAGCTTGAATACATTGATGTTCGAAATACAACGCTCACATCAATTATCTGCTGAGAGGAAAGGAAGATGAAAATTTCTAGTTCGTGATCTGAGGCGATGAAGATATTAGTGCATCAAGGCATAATAGGGTTATATCTTGAAATGTATGCTGAATTAAGCAACAAAAATTTGAGAACTATGGTGAAAATTGCTCAAACTTTGGAAAATAAGATTTTAGTAGATTTTCATAAAAATTGATAAAATATGTAGTTGAAAAATTGCAAATCCTATAAAATTTGTAGTTAAAATTAATTGTTAACTTTAATTTAAATTTTAATTATTACAAAACAAGTTTTAAACTCTAGAGAAAATCTATTGGACATTGGGTCCCTATGCGCTACAAAAACAATAATAATTATTTTTACTGTACTGTAATATCAATTATTTTATAATTTTTATAAATTATGAATGCTCATAACTTATATAGAATTGATATTCAAATGTTAATTACAAAGTATATAACCTCCATAGTCTTTATCTATATCCCTCGTGGTTTATTAATTGTAAGTAAGTTCGTGATGATCATCCTATGCATAGGGATTTTAAATAGTTGTCACAGTAAAAAGTGAAAAGAGGAAATCATTTTTTTTAAGTGCAGTCGCTCATTGTCGTAGTCGTCCTATATGATATACATGTGACGGTTAATAATTTGATACATTAATGTGGTGATTTTTTATTATTTTATATAACAAATCACTAACTGTCATATATATAGTATAAGGCGATTGCGAAGGTAAGCGATTACAAATAACATTATTTTTTTCCTAATTCGTGTGTCTTTGTACTATTATCATCTGGCTGTTTGCTATATTTTACAACATCTTATGATTTTTATTTTATTTTTATTTATATATATTTTTTTTTTGTTCTTTTCTTTTTTTGTCTAAAGAGAATGATTTGCCTGGCAAGAGAAAAAGAATCGTTGTTTAGCAATATACGTTATGTGTTTCTTTTCTTTTGGACTAACCATTTTTAAAATTATTACAAGAGATGACTTTCTCAATAGTAAGAGCAAAATCACTTTTTTTCAACTTTTTTAGGCTTAGTCAAATATGTTTCAAGTGTTGGATTATAGTAATTGTGACTGGATGCTATGTCATCAAATTTAAAATAATGTTGATAAAATACTAATGCATGTTCAGTAGCAATTATGAGAATTAATTTTTTGATCGTCAGAGAAAAAAAAAAGCGCAAGTCCCGTCTGTGAGTGAAGAAATCAAAAATGACGTTTAAAATAATGACATAACAGTCAAAAAATTAATTTTTTAAGGTAAAAAAATTACTATCAAACGGGACTCAGTATAATTGTGAGACCAGATTTTGAAGTGGACCCAACTAATCATCGAGTCACCGATTACTATTGAACTGGTGAGTACTTGCGAACTCATGTAAAAGTTTCTAGAGTGTATGTTTATAGTTATTTTATAATTTTGTATTAAGGATTTAGTTAACTTTTAGCTAAAAGATTCTCCACACGTACTGATAAATTTAGAACTAGTTGTTTGATAACTAACAAGTCACTAAATTTTTTTCTTCAAATTTTATTAATTAATTATAAAATATCTGTGTAAGATGTTGCGTTGAATATATCTTCAATATATCAAGAGTGTGGATAGATGAAAAATATTCAATTTTTTATTTTATCCTTATATTTTTATGTTTATTATCAACAATACCCTTTGATATTCAATTTATTTTGGCTAAGATAATTATTTTAAAATAATTTTATTCCTTTCAAAAAAAAAGTAAGTTAATTAATCCACTAAACAAAATTATTACTAAATATTAATATACAACTAATAAAAAATTGTTATATACAGTTAAAAAATACTACTACTACTACATACATAATTAACCGTGACATAAACAGAGGTAGCAGCTATAAAGTGGTAGTGGAAAGGGCCACAACCATGGTCGAGGAAATGTTTGCACAGATGACACAACTTTTAACAAAAAAATCACTCTTGGCTAATTGAATCAGTTAGACTCGAATAGTAATGCACGATACAAAAGATAGGGTCGAATATAATAAATCACCCACTATCCATAGGAAGTCTGGCCAGTTAATCCACCACCCATCTAAAGCATGAATAGAATCGCTTTTGTTCTGAAGGCCTAGCAAGTTCCTTATTTTCAAAGTAAAGGCAGGCATTTTCTTTCCTTAGGTCGCTTGCCAATGAACAAACAAACTATTTGTAGGTCAAATTAGGTGATCGGTTGTTAGGATGATGAGAACAATTGAGAATCCTCTAGCCCAACCCCATCCTTGCATCTTTATATTCTAATTGTTCATATAGGGGCTAGCAAATTTAAAGTCTTTCCTTAAGTTATTAGGCCTCTCTCCCTGTTGTGTTTTCCGTAAAGGTCCACATAAATTTGCAAGAGATCCCTGTCAGACAGGCCCGCCTCTGGGACCAGGAGAATGAGGCCTACGCCTCAAGCCCAGATTCCAAGGGAGCCTCATTTTCAGCCCAGAATTTTATTTTATTTTATATATATATATTTTTTTTTTTAGTTGAACCAAACCCAGTGATGAAGAAGAGCACCCCACAACTTCAAACCCAAATCCAATACCCTTAGTCTTAATCCATTTACCCAACTTATACATCCACAAATCATAATTCATTATCCATCATTTACCCAAAATTCCCAATTTTCCAATCCCCAATCAAAAACCCCTTTCTCTCAAACGCTCGTCTAAGTAGTCCATCCCCTTCGTAGCGTCGTCGGTCGCCTCTATCTCTCTTCTCGACCTCCTCATTCCGACTTCCAGATTTCCTTTTCCTTTGAGTCATTAGTCACGAGCCATGGAGTCGGACACCGTCGTAGTTCACACCGGTTCCGTTCCGCTACAGAGCATAGTTCGCTGTTCAGCCCTGTTAGCAAGCAAGTGCTTGGTAATTGGCTGTTAGTTTAGTATGTTAAGATTATTACTTCCTTTTGAGTTATATGATTACATTCACACTAAGTATTCAACTATTCATTCATGGCTTTTACCTTTTACTTATTATAATTTTGATTACTTTATTTTTATTGATAAATGCTCTTTTTCTATGTTACTGTTAAATACTTAAATGTTAATGGGTTAACTGTTATCTAGTCTAGGATGGAGTCGAGGACCTGAAAATGCTACAACTATGTTTAATGATTATTGATTAATATATAATTTGTTGTACAAGTTTGAGATGAAGAACTCTCAAATCTCAAGTAATAACTAATGTGTGAAATAGTTTATTGTTAATTTCAATAACTTAGTTTGATAGATAAGGTGTGAGAATATATAGTTGAGAATTTGAGATATTATTATGTCAATGAACTCAAGAAAAGATATCTTCAGTTTCTACAACCAGTATACTAATTTGAATTAATTTATTTTGTTGATGAAACTGTTTTAATGGTTATTAGTTTTTATTAAATGTGTTATTTCCCTAAGCTTGACTAAATGTGAGCCTATTTTTAAGTATTGGTATTTAATTTTAAATTTTTGTTTTAGTTTCGTAAGTTATGACGATGGAATTCTCGAGGGTGTGATTCCGCAGTTTTCGCCGCAATTCTGCTTCTCAAGTAAGCAGTGGCTTTCCCTAACTTATTATTTAAGAGATTGAAAATGTTTGGAGTCTTGTCGGCTTATGATTGATTGTTGTAGATCAACTACGTTAGAAGAAAGATAGAATGGATTGGCTGTGTTATTAATAGAGAAAGAAATAGTTGATCAGCTAAACTATTCAGATTTTACTAATGTTTTTGCCTCTAAAACAGTAAGACGAATAATATTTAACTAATTGTTTGAAATATTGTTGGTTTTGTTATTTGATAATATAAATTTTTTATATAATATATTTGTTCGTTGTTTTAATGTTAAATTTTAAGTTAGTAATAAGTTGTATAATACACCGTTGCATTTACGTTGATTTCGGGAGGGAGGCCTAATTTATATGCTTTGCCTCGGGCCCCCGACAATCACAAGACCGGCCCTGCTGTCAGATCGACCAACAAATGATAGGCCAGAGAGATGGGTTCATTCAATTAATTAGTGATCTTTGGACATACCTAACACAAACATGACAAATCATAGAAGCAGTTCTTACATAAGACACTCGACTAGGAGCTTCTACATGGATTAGACACCCACCTGACCTACCAAGTTTCCAATTTCATCTGAGGGCTTTGTCTGCTGTCTTGCTCTAAGTAGAGTGGGATCGGTTAGTATATTAGGTATTGTTGGTATACTATTTCCCCAAAAATGAAAGAAAAGTCTTTCCTCATATATATTCGTATGGAATGAGCTTGGCAAGAATCTTTTTAGAAGGATTGATATTTAGCCATGTCACAACCATTTGATGAAAGTCTGAACTTGGGCATCATTGGATTGGTGAGTGGTGTGACTTTCCACCATACAGAAACAAAATAAGAAAACGCTACTTTTCGAAATAATGCCTTGGTTTAGCCTTCAATATGCTTTTCCTAATATCTAATAGCTGGAAGGCCAAGAGATAATAGAAGAGGGGATATGAATGAAGGGATATGTCACAAAATTGCATACACTATTGAATTAAGGGAAAATTGCAACTTTTGGTCTCAAACCTTTCATTTTGTTGCAATTATACACATTTCGTTGCGGCGGAAGTACAAATGAATAAATTCCGTCCATTTCACCATTATTTGACCTAAAAATTAAAAAAATTAAAAAAAAAATGAGTTATTTTGACCAATTAAAAGAGGGGTAATATCATCACTTCATCTTTTCACTTTTTTTTAAAAAAATTGAGAATTGTAATATTTCAATTAACAGATGAATTTTCAAAGCTCACTTTAACCTTTTAAACTTATGATTATATTTGTGCTAAAAAAAAAAATTTTTTAAAAATTGTTTTAATTTTCATCCCAACAATGACCCATCAGTTAAATTCGTAATTTGTCGATGGAAGCCAGTGATCCATCAACGCGGTGCTTTGATCGGGTCAATAATCGGATTGGCTCTGATAATTTTGGTGCTCAGCTTTACATCGATATCATAGTCTACTGCCTATAATTGATCAAGATAAAAAATTAAAAGAAAAATTAATTAATTTTTAACCAATTATAATCAGTGAATCTCAATATCACATATATTGACATTTAGCACCAACGAAACATAATAGTATTGCAATAAAATCCTTTCATAAAGTGTCCCACGCCACCCAAAGAACTTTGCTATACGTACAAAATCTAGTCGAAAAAAAAATTAAAAAATTAAAAAAAAATAAAAATTGAACCCCACAAATGCTGCCATAAAATTTCGGTGAATAAAAACATGTACACTTAGCATTTTTTTCCACTCAAAATCTCTCTGAGGTCAACATATGCCACCGGTCAGAGACATTTATAGTTAGAATAATAGCTTTCATGTGATCTTTTGGCACACATGTAAGTGATGAATAAATGTGAGAACTTACATGCACCTATTATCCGCCAAAATTTTAAATTCCTTGTTGCATGTCATTATTTATTCAGTCATCTACTGAAAATATGACAAAATGGAAACTAATTTCTCAACTACTTTGTACTTGAAATTCAAGAGGTTCAATCCCATAAATATGGACATCATATCATTCATTGTTGGCCAAAATTTATGTTTACTTCTAGTATAAAAAGTTAAGTTACACTGATAACACGCCTGCCTTATTTAATTAAATAAATATAGCTGTACATGTATGGCAATGCATAGCTATACATGCTCGAGTTGAGATCTGTTTAAAATTGACTGACCAACTTCTTGTCCACCAATGATTCATTAACACGATACTTTGTATGCATAAGTGACAATGAAAGAAAAATTGGACATATTAATTTAAAGTTATGCATCAATGAATCATTAAATCAACAACAAATTGAACAGTCAATTTTAGACATATATGGCAATGCATACTGTACATACTTAAGTTGAGATCTGTTGTTTAAAATTAACTGACCAACTTGTTGTTCACCAATGATTCATTAACACAATACTTTCTAAGTATAAGTGACAGTGAGAGAAAAATTAGACATTAATTTAAAGTGATGCATCAATGAATCATTAGGTCAACAGCAAGTTGAACAGTCAATTTTAAATAACAAATCTCAACTCGTACATGCTCCGAGAAGACGAAACAAATAAGTCGGAAAAAGAATATTTTATGCTATTCAAAAGAATACAAAGATAAAATGATACAAGCCAAAAGCATGAAAGAGAAAATGGATTGTCTATTACTTTGGTACTCGAAAGTACATAAATAAGCAAGATGGAAATTATAAGATGCACCAATATGGTCACAAGATGATTAGGCGTTAGCATTCCATATAAATACAACAAAAATGATGATTCTCATCAATACCGTATTACGGTTCAAATTTCTATTCAGATGCATTTTCGCCATCTCCAGCTATTCTACAGCCGAGAAAAAAAAAATGAGGAAGAAAACTATGGTGTATCTTGTTCTATTCTCCATTCCTTCTGGTACAAAAGCTCCAAAAGTAAGCAGCATGTGCTCATACTAGCTTTTCTGAAAATATATCCATCTCTCAGGCGCTTCATGAAGCATGGACAAGCCATTAAACGAAAAAGCATCATCTGGCTTAATTAAAAGCGCCTCATGCTTGTGCTTGAGAGTGTTCAGAGTCCTTGTTTCCTAGTAAGTGCGACTAATATTTTGTTCAAGTTTGATATTTCCTGATCTCTCTGTCTTAGCTCTTGCTTCAATCTTTCAATCTCTTTTGAATGTGCCTCACATTTATTTAAGCTTAAATCCGGCTCCTCGAGTTGTTCACAATTCTGGTCTTTCCTTGACTTCTTCAATGCACCCAACTTGTCCTCATCTTCGAATGACCTCTTCTTCAATGTACCTTGGTCAACAGAATCATCACAAGCCATCTTACACACACACAAACTAGCAGCTTTCCCAGTACCGAGCTCAAAGGTGAAGACTTTTTGGGGTCGTCCAGTTGAGTCCTAGTAAAGAGTAGATCAATAAATTTAATAGTTATACCAATAAGATAAACAATAGTCACCGCTCATCTAAATCAATTAAAACAGAGAAAGAATAAAACCATGAATGAGGACATAAACTATATGCTAAAAACATAGAAGGGAAATTACAATGGATCTTTGTTTTGCCCGGGAATGCCCGGTGTACTTGTACATGAGTTTTGATCAATATAATTTCACATTTACCAGGAAAAAAAATGGAAAATACAGTGTAACTAGTATGAATAACCATTTTATTGTTTCTTCTGGATGGGGAGGGCACATTAGCCCATTTAAACACACGTAAAAGCCAACTTCCATACTGAACACTGTAAGGACAGAAAATTACACACCTTCTCTAGGTTGCCCTGGAGATTATCAAATGTTTCATTGGCTTCTTTCTGATTTCCGAAAACTGCAAATGCAGAATATGTATCTCGAACTTTTTTGCTTGTCTGCAGAAAGTCATTTAGCCAAAAACAATGAGTGTGAGGGAGAGCAATAGAGAGCTAAGGGCTCAAATATATTTAAAAGAAACACAAGGAAGATTAAAATTTAATCTATACAAGGAAAATAGAACAGCTCGACACTGTCAGACTAAAATGTCAGTTTTCAATACTTCGCATTTTATTTCTTACAACTTTAGAAAATTTTCAATTTAATGAATATATAGAGACGACTAGGAATATATTACTTAAATTAAATTTGTCAGGTCCCGAGGCGTTGGCCTAATTCTTTTTAATCATGTCAACTACTTCCTAAATAAGCAGAGCCTGTGGATGAAGCAATAATTAGATTTGTGAATGATATGCATTGATTTCACCTATCAACATATAAACATTATGGTAAAGTCAAAGGTACAAACAAGAATGCAGGCAATAGCAGCTACTTCCACAAACAGAGAACATCTCAGAAGCATCCAGGAAGGCAAGTGTTGGTTCAACTTAGAGACAGGAAGCACAACAGGTTAAAAAAAAAAAAAAATGGAATTTAAAAATTCCACCAGCTCAAGTCATCAGGACGAGAAAAGCGAATTGGTTGCACATACTTCTTGGGTTTCTTTTCTTTCTGAATTGTAAGTTCAGTCAGATTTTTGTTTTGTGTTGAGGACACTTTGCAGCAATATATACATATTAACAATATGCATTCAAGGATGCATACATACACGTAAACATATTTAGGTTAAACACTTTGATTACAGTCAACTCATTTGCAGAAGTAATGGGAAACACGTTAAGAGCCTACTTGGTTTGGATTAAAATCTGATTTTAATCGAAGTCTAAGTCAAACAATCAATATTAACCACATTTTTCTTGGATCCCACAACATTTCAAACATACATTTCAAAAACTTCTATCACAATCTACTAAAAAATTTAATTTTAATCCCCACCAAACACCCTTTAAGAATAAAGTCGGGGACAAATATTAGTAAGTAATACAACATAAACAAGTTAAAAATTAGCATTTAGCAGTCAAAGGAGTACTTGACTGCACAAAAATCACATTCATTGGGTACTGACACAACTTATTGAACCCACACATTTGATAATTGCTAGCAGGTTGTTACATGAATTAGGAAACAATTATGATGTGAAGATTCCACTTTAAATTATGCTCATTGGAAGTAATATGTATATTCAAAACTTGTATGCCAGAGAATGAAAAAGAGGTAGTTACTGGTAGGAAAAAAAAATACCCCTAGTAGCCGCAATGTACGTTCGAGAAAATTTAAGAATCTTACTTCATTGAATTTGGCTAGATGAATAGGTGATGACAGTTAGGCAGAAAGATTCAATCCCAGAATCAAAGAAGTCAAGACAGTAGAATGCCATTACACTATGTTTGCATGAAGTCATATCAAGCACAGCAAAAAACATATGGTATACAACGTTTTGCATTCAAAGTGAATGTGTAGAGAATTTTTAGCTGAGTAAATCGAAGTATACAAGTAAACAAAGTCAGTAAAAAGTAGTTAAAGGAACTTCAAAGAAGCATGAAATAGAATGTAATGGAACTAACCTTCAATTCAATCTCAAAATCCCCTGGAATAACACTCTGTAAATCTTTGGTAGAAATATTAACTGGAATCCTGTGAAGAAGCAGCTTGGCTGAATCTACATCTTTCACCTAAATCAAAGATGCTATTAAGTAGCAATCTCAATTTGGTTGGTGGCCCAAAAATATCAGCGATTTTTCTAGGTTACCTCCTCTTGAATAACACCATCAGCTCCATGCTCTAATCTAGCCAGAACAAGTTTCATAGCAGCACAAGCATCATCTAGACAGTTATGCGGACTCCCTTCCTTCCGAAGCTCATAACCTAACACGCCCTACCAAACCACATAAGGTATTATCAAACAAGCAATGACTTCTATCAGCTTGTGACGGGTTCTGCATCACTTACTAAGATATGTAAAGAGGGCAAGCAATAGACACACACACACAGAGACACAGAGAGAGAGAGAGAGAGAGATTACAAGTTCGGTTGATGAATCAATAAGGAAGAAAAGCGCCTTTCTAAAATGGATCCTTAAGTAAAATCTTACCTTACACAAGACACTCAGAGAAGGCTTTTTGGTAAAATCATACCTTACATAGCAAACTCAAAGAAGGTTTTTTGTTAGCAGGTCCATTTGCACGTTTGAAGACATAAGATGTGTCGATTATTCTAGTATATTCTAACTTGAGTGCTGCAAAAAGAAACAGAAATGATAATCGGAAAAAGAGTATTTTGGAAATGTGATGTCAATGTCATAATTTGATGTCAAGAGCAACTTAACTAAAAGTCAAAAGAGTATATGAGAATTCTTGAAAGTAAAAGAGGCACTGGAAACTTGTATACAGAAGAAATAAACTACTAACCTTGAAGATCATTGTTCAGACTGTGGCCAACTAAAATGGTTCCATTTGATAATAACTTCTTCATGGATTTCTGAAATGTCCGCAGAAAAGTTTAAGAAAGCCAGAAAGAGAGAAAGAGAGAGAGAGAGGGTTGAAAATTGACCAAAAATACCTGTACATCTACCAATGAATAAGTAACTCCATCTAACTCTTTTGCAGAAATTCCAGTTATCTCAGTTCGGTAATCTGCAATTGCTTTATTGGGGTTCACAAATACATCAAGTTTAACCTGATAGATTAAATTTCAATGTACTTCAGCCAACATAAGAAGAGAAGGCTACATGTGTGAGACCTCAGATACTGCAGAGATAGTATCTATACCGGCAACAGGCATTTAAGGGCTGATTCGTATATTTTGCGAAGATAGTATGCGTGCGTAATACCTGTAAATTACGGTCCACAGCACACACCCTTACTAAAGCTTCAGTCCCATCTTCACAGAGAACCATCTCACAATCAATGGCAAGGATTACTGTTGACTTCATGGCCTTGGACTTTTTGCTGCATTTTACAACCATCCACTCCTGCTCCAGCAATCAAAGAAATTAAAGAGAGGACGAGCAAAATTAAATGAATGTGTAATTACAGTTCTATGGAAAAAAATCACAATCACCAGCTAGAGGAAACAGCCTGTGAAAAAATAAAAACAAACGAGCCACTCCAATATGCACGGCTGTAAAGTATATTTAAAAGAGAAACAAACAAAAGGATTTCAAGATGAAGGCATCTATAGAAGTGAATAAAAACCTTCTATGGTTCATAAATTCGTTTCACAATGCAAAAAATAAATAAATAAATAAAATAAAAAGTTGTAGCTTCGGATAACCAGAGTATTATATTAGGAAAACTATTTGGAAATCTTGTAAAAAGCAAAAAAATCCAAGCAATGGCATACGAAGAACTTAATATAGGTTTCAGGTAACTTAATATAGGTTTCAGGTATGAGAGAAGAAAAAATAACACAACAAATTCAGGAACGGACCTCATCATACGATGGTAGAGCATAATCGATCGAGTACTGAGGATGACCTAGAGTCATACTGACCAGCCTCTGCACTGCCCAAAAAAAAAACTATCACAGATGATATGGTAAAATTCAAGAAATAGCAAGATCAATGGCCTTTCATATAAGCTAGTAACAGCAACCCTCACAAAAAGCCATGAATACAAAATGTTTTCAATAAATAGAAACCTTTTAGTTAAAATGAATAAGTGTATGAATATCCAACGAAAACCTGTTCGGGGATTTCATTAAGCGGGGAAGACTTTGTTAATGTCACCATGGCTTCACGGTTGGAGTGACACTGCATTACTTTCTTGAGAAACTGCAAGTAAGAAACGAGAGTTCATCACACAAGGTGCATTTGGTTTACTTATCAACATTTTTTTTCTTCATCAGCCGGGAGGAACAAGGATGGGGATGATCATTGATGTGTAAGAGTTTACCTTCAAATCATTCTCCTGGGTAAAAGTTTTCAAAAATGCAACCAATGAATCAACAGACCTTCGGGCAGGGTCGCTCACACTTGCACCAAACTTTTTGTCGTAAAATTTTAGAAAATCTTTCCAGCCTCCTTTACTACCTACCATTCCTCGTTTTTGTGCCAATTTCACCATTTCAATAAGCGCCTAATCCCATTAATAATAGGAAAAATAAACATGTAAATATTACCATATTAATAAGAATGATAGTTGCTGCGACTGTCAATGACTCGTCATTAACTATTCTATTTATCAAAACCCAATTAATCTACCCTCTAAAAAAAATTTAAAAAGCATAAACTCAATTTTTGAGATACAAAATTCTCAACACAGATTCTTGACTCATTTCAATGTTGCCAATGTGAACTGATTTCACAGGATTACGCGATTTTGAACGACTGGCTGGTATTTTAATAAAATATTGGTCTACTCGAGGCATTACTCATTAACAGTCACATAGAGAAAGCACAAATTATTTTACAGATATCAAATAATGTAAAATAAACATTAAAATTGGTTGACAGGAAGTGTTAATAATAAGTGCCGAAATAATAAATTGTAAAATCAAAATAACCTCTTTTTTCGCAGAGACAATGTGCTCATCCATTGATGTGCGTTTTAGAGAAGGAAAGAGAGTTGCAGCCGTTTGAAAGCTTGAAGAAGCTGGGGAAATAGGAGTTAGGGTTTATGCATTAAGAATGATATATGATCATCAGACACCCCTCATGTATTCGACTATTGAACAAATAGTCCCTAACTTTTAAAAATTACAGAAACTTTCTCCTAAAATTTGTTATTTCAAAACTGATTCCTTTATCGCTCAAAATTAAATTTGCATTTCCTAATCTCCTTTTCTATTTATACTACCTTTAATATTATTATTAAAACATATTTAGAGTATGGATTAAAATTTTAATTTAAATTTAAGTTAAAGTAAACAATTAATTTTCACAAAATATTTCATGAAATCCGTAATTTTTCAATTACATATTTCATCAACTTTTAAAAAAAAAAAAAAACCCTTATTTCAATTCCCATCAAACAATGACTTAAATATAGGTCATATTTTATATTTATCTTTATTGGATAGAGTTAAACGTGCTTTGCACGTTATTTTGAAATATTTTATAAGTGTCGTAAAAATAATATTTGATATTAATTTGTTGGGAGGATTTTATGAGTTTCAAACGAACTAAAAAAATAAAATTTAAGATAGAAATTTAAGAGAAGAAAATTATTGTGACGCACTACTCTTAATTTCCCTAATTTATTTATTTGTATCCTTAGATTAAAATCATATCAAACATTTTGCAGTAAAATCAAAACATATTAAGGAAATCAAATTTCAGAATATAAAGAGTTAAAAGAACCTCCAAGTTTATATTATACCAAAAGAGAATTTTATTTTACAAAATATATCTCATTACACCTAAGTCATATGACTATCACAAATTTGTTTTCAAAAGCAATGCCTGCAGATTTTTCAAAAGTTTCCTATATATCTATTCTACAACAGGCTGATATAGTAGTATATCAAAGTTTGTCAAAATTCTTTCATCTTTACTTCACTCTTTTACTAGGCATCAATTTTCTATTTTACACAATGTCACTTGCTGTTTACTCCACATAAGACAAGTGATCGAGTCGTAAACATCAATCATTACCATTACAAAATCCTTCCCGTCTTCAGAAGTTTCGATCTCTTCTTCCTCGTCGATCACCGTATAAAAACGTGTTTAGTGGGTACGTCTATATGTAACATGTATAGCTCTGAGGTCCTCAATAATTTTAGCATGTCTAGTGGTTCGGACAATTTCAGTATACTGTACGTGGACCATAAAGTTCAGTAAATATGATGATGCAATGATGCATGTCAAACATACATGGGTCCAAATCTCTATTATAGTGTACCGTATGAGCTCAAAATAACATGGCATTATTCCTGCTCGCAAACCAATATCAACGCATCCATCATTGCCCATTGAGACTCAAGATACCACATCATTATAACATATATGCAAATTCAAGGCCTGGCCTACATATATATAGTGCTCAAAGTGCCTATCCGTAGTCCCAAGACCACGAAGGGACCTCCTGGCACTACCTGTATACAGGTGTCGAACTCTCAATACCCTATCCTTAATGACCGTTAGGAACCTCAAAGCGGTACAGTTATTCGGACACAATAGTACGGTACATCTATAATGGGATTTACATTCAAATTTTTCAACTGCAACCCGATCAGCATGACAACACAAGTATGCATGATCTTGAAAACGTAATTATTCCTATGTTTTCCAAATAAATTCAATGCACATATAACATACTACCATGTCACATAACAAAAGAAACAACCACACATAAACGTATATTTACACATATTAATATACTTTGCACTGCAGTTCGAAAAACATCAATATTTACTTTTTTTGCGAATTCCTTGATTAATATCTGCATTAACAAAATAATCTCTACATTAATCATATCATGTCTTATTATTTCCATATTATCATATCTAGACTAAACTTATAAGATAATATAGGTTATTTAATGGCATACCCTTAATAAAATTAATGATACTAGTTTATTGTCATCTAGTAGTAATAATAATGACATTAATAATTTAAATGAAATTCTCGTTATCGTCATTAACTAAATTCCATAAAATTATTACACGCACAATTTAAATTAGCCAATACACTACCATATTACTTTCTCATTTCATGCTTGATCCACTTTTCATTTCAATTAACACAAGTATATATATACATACATACCCATTAGTAAATTTTCTTATTCAATCCATATCCTTCTTTACCACATTTCCATCACATCTCACCATTGATACTATGCATTATAACAATTTTTTCTTTACATCTTATCACATAACTAGATCAAAGTAATTTAAGTTTAAGCCTCGAGTGATAATTGTTATCTTTCTTCCCATTGAATTTACCACTTATATAAATATAGTAGTGACGCAATTTCCATACCCATTATCATGATGGTATTAACAATTATTATACCAAGTTATTTTCTATCCCTACTCACTTTTTCCTTACTTTCTATATTTTCCCCCAAAAATACTTTATACAATCCTTAATAATGTGAGCTAAGTAAACTAAAACTCAATATATCTTCAGCTAGTTTATAAGTTTTAAAATTTCCAAAGTTAAGATTTTGAAATGGAAAAATTATAATTTATCTTCCTTACTTTTATTAATTAAACTGAACTGTAATATTATCTTTATTCAATTACTAAAGAACCCTAAGCAATAAATTTTAATGCCTATTTATAAACCAATTAAATAATTATCTAAATAAATAATTAACTAAAGAAAAATTAAAAATAATTAATTTAATGAAAAGACATATCTTAAGGAGTGAAAATGATGGGAGGAATGGAATGTCACATTTCACAACTATCCTCTATTTATAGTTGATGGTAGGGATTAAGTGTGCAATTTATGAAATTGCACATATAACCCCTATGATAATGTGTAATTATTTGATTGGATTTTAAAAATACATATTTAAATATTGGACCACATATGCAATTATTTATTTGTTTATAAAATTGCACCTTTAACCTTTGGGCAAATATGCAACTATAAAATTGCATTTTCAATCCCCATAATATTATTTTTAATTACAATCCCTAATAACATTTATTCTATCATTAAATTAAGTCTCTAAAATTAAAAACAAACTCCCTAAAATATTAAAAATGGAGAGCAATTGGATCGAAAATCATATGTACCAAAAGAAAAACAAGTTATTAGCCGAGCATAAACAATAAAAGACATAAAGATAGGGATCGAGTCCTGCCCTCGATGCCTTTCCATGAGATCCAAAATGTCATCCCTAAAGAGGTTGTCGAGGTTATACACGAGGGACTCAAGGTCCTTGAGCTTTTGCCTATCATTTTCTAATACCTTAAAGTAGGCCTGACTATCTTTGAACCTAATAGTATTAGATATTTCCCAATATATCTCAAAGGGATGCCTGGGATCTATGATGTAAAAATATTTTTCCTCCAACCTTTGAGCAAGCTTGGCATCTTCAGGATCTTAAACCTACCCTGAGTAGAAAGATAGATGAAACAAGTAAAGCTCGAGAAACTTCAGCTTGAAGATTAATCTGATGAGGTCAAGCCTTGTGGTTATAGATAAATACCTACTAGTAAGAAAATATACGAGCATCCTCCATGCATTAGGCACCAACTACCACGAGCGCATAGAATGCTTGAAAAAACTCGAGAAAGAAGTAGTAGAGGGGTCACCTAAATCCCCCTTCAAGGAATCTCTAAAAATTACAAACTCCCCTTTTTGAGCACTCACTATGCCCCAAGGCTCTACAGTCACTATAGGGCATTAATCCAAATTTCCTAGCCAGTAGCCGCCGAATTAATAGTATGTTCCTTATACCTACAGAAAATGTCGAAAAGGGTGAATTTGGGCCCATTATGATCCATGTGCTGAGCATCTAGGGGTATGGCCACTCGAATGAGTGAATTTCCTAAATCTTCGATTCTACTACCCAACCCTGAGGAGCCATCACTATTAGACATCTCTAAAAATAATAATTCTTAAATAATTTGGATCTCTAACTCTTACCTTAAAACCTCGAGGCTCAAACAACCATCTAAAATCCTAAGCACAACCTTGCAAAAAAAATACTGAGTAAAGGAACAAGAAAGTGAAAAATGAAAAAGGAGTTAGGTATTTATATGCTCCAGAGAAAGCTAAGGATCACAAAATCCTGACCTTTAATCACTGGCCACGTGTTAACTATCCAATGAAAGTCATTTCTAACATACCATCACTCGTTGCTCGAGCAAACACCACGTACATGTTTCATAACCATTTCGAGCATAACACACCTAGGCAAAATAATAATAAGCTTCATCTCAAGCTCGACCATGACAATCCCCAAATCAATTCTCGATTAACCTACCTAAAGTCTTCGAGCTTATGTCTTTAGCCCATCTTTTCCATCCCATCTTAGAGGCTTGCGCGTCAAGTCATGCAACCACAAGCCTCTAACACAAATGCAAGGGGCCCATGATGTGCATAGTTTTGCAATCCCGAGGTTGATCTAAAAAATGAAGCCCAACCACTGCATAACCCCAAGGATTATGATGTTTACAACCAAAACCCCTACGTGCTCGAGCATTATACTCCTCGGGTGACATTATATAGGGATAGGTTCAAGTTTAATGCACTCAAGGGTGTGATCTGCTCCTCTTTGAGAAATTCATTAATGCTTCAGAACTTTATCTCTAAAATCCCATCCTTATCCAAACATAATAGTCTCACAGTTAAATTCTAGTGTCCACATCTTGCAGGACTTTAACATCTTTCAGAACTCTTAAACAAGATAAGATAACTAAGTGACCCAATCTAATCAGGATTGCACTGTCTATCTCTATGAATATTACGCCATTCATTATCAAGGTACGCTTCATATTTTTAGCTTATAGCCTTTTGCATAAATTTCCTTCTAGCTAACTTAAGCATTGGAGGGGTTATGATTACACATCTTGAGGCATTATTTTAGGTACTAGAATTTCTATTTGTGGTCATTTACAATCATTAAGTTCGGGAATTAATGGGTGCAGATTTTTAGTAGCATTATTCGTCATTTGTGAAAAATACTACCAAAAGTGATGTTTAATA